GGCCTACCTGGCTCTTTGCGCGCTTTTCGGCTGGGAATCGCGGTGGTATGAGTCCGGCCCACACTCGGACCCAGGAGCCCTCACCTGAGACCTTTTAAATTTCTGTCATTTATGAAGTGTATACTTTCTTGCAGATGTATTTTCTTGTGATCAACCTTGTGGCAACCTTCTTCAAAATGACATTAAATTGACCCAAAGAAAAAGAAAAAAGAAAATAAAGGACAAGAAAAGTAGTGTGTTGGAAATAGTCTTTAGACAAAATAGTGGATGAGTATAGAAACAATAAGTTTCATGTGCAGATGACATTGTTGGCCTGAGTCCAGGTTGTTAACAGGGCCAGTACCTTATGTTATTGCTCCACTAGGACACAGAAAGATAAATGATGTGATTAACTGGAGTGCGAGAGTTTCTGTCTGTTTCGAATCTGGAGACATGACTATGGCCCCTTAACCAAATTTCAGATAACAATTATTTTCTGGGTTCCAGACATCTGGTGGAGAAATGAAGGATATTTTCCTGATTGCCCAGACAGCACATGTTGAAGGAATGCCTGGGCGTAATTAAAATACTTTCCATGTTATCAGCATAAACCCACCATCCATCATGGTAGATAGACATAGTAAATTGTATTTAACAAGCAAACAAAGCAGGAAAAGTTCTAGAGATTTCAGTATTATGTTATCAGCAAAACATCGCCAATATTTTCTCTCACATCATACATGATATACAGTGAGTTCTATATACCCAAAATTACTAGATGCTTGGATTCTACCAATCTCAAATTGAAAATATTTGTGTTTCAATTGTGCCTGCCTAGAACATGTACATACTTTTCCTTTGCAATATCCCCCAATCAATGCAGGATAGGAACTATTTGTATAACATTTACAATGTATTACACATTATGAAGAATCCAAAAATGCTTCGATGTGTATAGGAGGATGCATGCAGGCTATGTGACAATACTGTGGTATTTTATATACAAAACACTACCATACCCAGAAGCTGGTATCTGTGAAGGTCCAGAACTAATTCTCGCCACACTCTGCTATGAATATATCTATTACTGAGGCTAAATTAGGAGCATCACAGTGACTACTGCAGTTTTATGACTTTTGTCATTTATACCTACAAGCATCAGCAGTCCACAGATATAAATGAGCCTACAAAGCCTCATTATACCAGTTTTAGGGAGTTTTTTGGAGACCAGAATTTATCTCTCAGGGACTCACACGTAAGCATACTTCATCGAAGTTTTGTTGTTTTTCTCCTATACTTCCAACAGGCACTTTAGTTTTTCCCAATAGGTTCTGAGTGTAATAGCTTTATGTTTATGGCTCTTCCTGGTTACCATGACCAAAAGATGCCTCCACTGGGTTGCATGTGTGGTAATCCCAGCTTGTATAGATTTCAATCTACTTAGGGTTGCTTCCTTTGATACCTGCTGTTCTGCCAGGCACAGCATTTCTCCACTGAGAGCCACTGCTACCCAGCACGAGAGACAGGCTCCCACCAGACTCATTATTTGGGCCCTCTGAAGACAAAGCTCTAAAGTTTCTGTGGCTGAGGGCATCTGGAGTTAAAGCACCATCCATTCTATCCTGTCAGCATGGCCCTGGGCAGTGACATTTGTACAATATATGTTCTGTAGTTTAGTAAGGCTCTGATTCACTCTCTTAGGAAAACGATAGCCTATTCCTACCCTTTATAGGTCCTACAAATGAGTGCAGTGGAGACTGAATTTGAATGTAGAAATTGTAATCTCCATACTATTTCCAAATCCATCTCTTTATGACTGAGACTGTGGAATCAAGTAAATAGTTTCACACCCTGTTCTTCCTTACTCTAAAAGTTATTTCCTCTAAGTAGTTAATTCTTTTTGCTGCTAATAGACTCCTCTTGAATTGTCCTACTACATTTTTTAATATAAAATCACAATGCCTGAACCCCCCAAAGTGGGCCCTGTTTATATTCTTCCTCAGAGGGCTCCTCCACCCCTTACACAAATAGATTCCAATTAGAATTTACTAACCAGTTCACTAGATGTCTGCAGATATTTCATCACTTAGCAATAGACCAAGTATAGGGTAAGGTTTATAATAGTGTTTTTGATACTTCAAATGAAAGGCATATAGACAGAAAAACAAAAATTTATTGGAAAGGTCAACTACAACTGCTAACAGTGATTTTTCCTCAAGTGTACAGTTGTGCATGAGTTTTGATTTACTTTTTTCATTTGCATGTATCTGTACTTTCCAGGAAAATTACCATGTAGATATATGGATTTTTAAAGCCAAAGGAAATAAAAAAATTAGTTAAAAAAAAAAATTGCCCTTGATTCCTACTGGAATGCTTAAGTGGCTTGTCTGCCAATCCTAGTCCAAAGACAAACTGGGAAGACATCCTAGGGAAATTTGACAAGAGAAACATCAAGAGAAGCAAAACAATATCAAGATTCTCCAGGTAATAGGTGGCTGTTTTTGAAACCAATTGTGAGAGGTTCCAGAAGCAAGACCTCATGGAAGGAGAAAAATGTAAGAGGAGAAAAACTGGAGTTCTGTGCTTTTTTTTTTTTTTTCCAACTGCATTTGTGTTGGGATAAACCCTTCCCTCTATGGTTGTGGCAACTCAACTTCAGGTCCAAGTGGCCTCAGAAATTGAAGTGAATTAGGAAAGAAGACCTGTGTTTATAAGGATTTGAGACAGACAATATGGGACTAAATTTAGTCTTTTCCTCCCCAACCACTTAGGAAATGTCTTAGCCTTAACATCTGCTTAAACAATATGATTATCATCTGAAGGGTAGTTTCACAGAATGAAGGGTATCTGGAACCAGGCTCCATTCACCCTTAACCTTGAGCTCTCGCAGTCTGGTACTGGAATGTGAACTGCTGACATTCACACACTTACGTGCCGGGCAGGGTTCACACAGCGGGCTGGAGGCTGCTGCTTTGAAACCGTTTGCTTAATCCTTTGGCACTTGGCCCCTGGGAAACTGGCCGCTGGAACATTCCCTAAATGATAAAACTGTGTCCTATTTGCACAATTCTTAAATAAACAATGTGATACGTAATGAAAATATGCTTTCCTTTTAGAATATAGAGTTTTGTAGTCACTAGACAGAAAATGCCTATCTGAAAACCTCCTGTAAAAACCCTAAATCCTGAGTTTCAAACAGGCTCCGCAGGACACCAGTGTCACACTGACATCACTGTTTTGGCACCTGGAAAGTGGATGTGCCCCTTGTGTCCTTGTGGGAGGGACATTATAGAGGAAACCTGCACATGGACTCCTCTATACTCTGCTTTTACTTCCCTGCTGGTCCTCGCTTTTTCTGTGGAATAGATTTTCAGCTGTGAGTACAGTGTGGGCTAAGTCCCTTGAGTTCTTTTAATGAGTTCTCAAATTTGTGTGCAGTCTTGGTACACTGGCAACGCTAACTGATGACTCCTGGGGGTATGAGATCCAAAGCCAAAATTACAGTATCTTTGAGGAGCCCAGCACTCACTAAAGAAAACAAATATCAGATCATCACTTTCACCATTATCAAAAGGGTAGAATAGATGCACCAAGAGCTCCTTGTTATCCTTCTAAACATTCTCAATGACATTAGCTAAGAGTTAGACAATAAGGCAAAAGAAGGGAAGCATCAGGTTTACTCTAACCTGCTTTTAGTCAATTTGCATGCTAGGATTTAACACAGCTTCCAAATATTTTAACAGATTGTTTGTCCATATTGGGTTTGGATTATATTTTATGTCTCTGCCTTTTCTGTCTCCACATATATCTGTAGGAAATTCAGATAGAATGCTAAGTAGTTTGTTTTTTTTTTAATTTTTTTTTTTTCAGGAAGTCAGTGGCTCTTACAGTCAAATAGGCATAAGAAGTTCTGGTTTGTCATGACATCCAGATTAATACAAACAACAATATATTTGGTGGAACAGTTTGATAAAATTGAAGAAGGGGATTTAGAAGTTTTCCCCATAAAGGAATGATAACCAAGGACATAGATATGCTTGATCTGATGTAAGTATTACACAATGTGTACATGCATTGAATTATTTCATAGTATCTCATTAATACACATATATTTAGCTATCAGTTAAAAGTAGATAAATAAATTTTTAAAAATAAATTTAGCTGCTTCTCCTTTTCAAATTTTTCTGTTTCTCCACAGTCTTTCTGATTCCAAAACACAGTTATTTTTCAGGTTCAGTCTAAATTTCATAATTTCTGTGAAATCATCTTACAGTTCAATGTACTTAGTATTAATTCTATGTCATAAGAGCTACAAGATTTTTCTCCCTCATACATTACAGCATTTGTAAGGTTCTTATACTATATTAAGCTGGTCCATGCCTACCTTAACAAAATGTACTATTTTAGGTAATAGAAAGTGTATGTTGTTTAGAAAACCTCTAGCACTCTGCACAGGGACATATTGAATGTCATTATACTAGCAAATAGAAAGGATGCAATAAAAATAATAGTGATGCTAGCTTTTATTGAGCACTTAATATGTGCCATTACCTCTTCAATATTCTACTTTTATTAACTTATTTAATTCTGCAAACAGTTTATGAGTGAAGACCTCATGTTTCCCTCATTTTAAAGATGAAATAAGTGAAGCATATAGCGATTAAAACTTTCCTAATGTAAACTGCTCCTAATTTAAAAAAAAAAAGTTAAGCTTTGAATCAATGCAGTCTAATTTCAGAGGATGAACTGTTAAAATATCATGTGAAACTGGCTGAACAATTTAAAGACTATGTGAAAATTCACATAGTAAATAATAGGTAAATAATATTGCTGCAGCCTGATTTAGAAATGAGTAGGTAAAATACAGTAGCAGTTAAAGTAGAATTTTAGGTAAATGGTTAATCACTGTTCTTCATAAGTTAATCCCAGCAAATGCATGAGATGTTTGTATAATAAAATGTATATGTTGTTTATATGGGATTCAAATTTGGGTATCTTATGCAGCATTTTATTCAGTAATTCTACTGATAAGAATAATTTATGCATCTACAGAGAAATACAATTTGTGTGTTAGATAACAAGGCAGAGAAAGACTTTGAAGAGGTGGAGAGAGGGAAGCAGCCACGCCCATGAGCTGCACAGAGCCCTGCCGTGGTTTGAATGTGTTCTCCAGAGTTCACTCGTGGGAACTTTAATCTCCAAAGCATGAGTGTTCAAAGGTAAGATCTGTAAAAGGGATGAGGTACCGAACAGAAGCCCGCAGTTTAATGTTGAACTTCACAGCTTTCAGAATATTCCATGAGCCAGATACTGTGTGTTTATGTTCTTCATAAACTACCGTCTCAGGTATTTAGCTAAGTCAACACAAAAATGAACTCAGACCCTCCACCATGTCATCCTCTGTGAAGGTGGCTGCATCCGGGGACTGAAGAGAGCGTTAAAGGCACAGCCATTCAGTTCGAGCCCAGACCTCTCTGCCCCGCAGCACTACTCAGCTCCCGCTGTTTCCCTAGGGGGTTTGTGAGTAGCATCACGGTCTGACTTCCCGCTTGACCACGTCTTCCTCTTTCCTTTCACAGATTTTATTCTTTAATATATGTCTTACCCCTCAAACTTTGCCTGTCTGCGTCTAGAGAATCCAACCAGAGAATACAAAGATCAGCAAAGAGGAGGGTGAGAAGAACCCATGTTTTTCTCTATGAAGAACTTCTATTGCCAAAAGGAAAATTTATTATAGTTCACTTGCTGGTATCAGAACAACACACCCTGTCTCGGACACCAACCTGTATACACTCGAAAGTGAAAATGAAAAGAGTTTTAATGAAGACGCTATTTGCAAAGTTAGAGACAGGTGTAAAGGCCCAAGGAGGATGTTAATAAGAATAACTTCTTACCAAGAACGAATTTGACACGGAGATTATAAAAATATGACGAACTATACAAGAAGTCATCATCACACTAGGCCTGAAAAGATCAGGGTAAGGAATAATCAGAAGATTCCAGAAAATGTGTAGCTGTAGCTAAGACACAGGTTTTCTTTGATGAACTCTGGAAAAGTGCAGCTGTGAACGAACCATAGCGTAACATGCGAAGGGCTAAAGGAACACAAACCCAGCTCTCAGTCTATCCAGTGTGTCAAATCGCTGCCAGGGATTTCTGTCCCCTGAAGCACCCAGAAGCCAGAACGCCAGTCATAGATAACTTCCTTATACAGAAGGCAGCGCGAACAGAGAGTAGGGTGGATCCGGTAGGCAAATGGAAAATAGCCCAATGTATTAATCCTCAAGGTCAAGAATGACATGCTAATTTAGGAAGTACAGTAAGAGGAGAACACAGGAGAGAATACTGTATCAGAAATTGAAAGGCCAGAATTGTATGCTATTAATATCGCTTTGAAATTTCTGGCAAGCTATTCTATCTCTCTGAGCCGTTTTGTCTTCTGTGAAAAAGATTTCCATGAACTCTAGGGTTTCATCAAGGTTAACAGTCCATAATTAGACATATCCGAGTTTCCAATGCAAAGTATATGAAGAGAACGACTTCAGGAAATGAAATTCAGAATTATTTAAGAAAGCAGCATAATGATCAGATAGTAATGATCTGCTTAAGGAAAATTAAGAATGGAGCAGGAATAGCCCTTTGTACGGTTTGCAAATAAAGATGGATTATTAAAAATAATGAAAGTGGCTACAGAAGATGATACAAAAATGAAAAGAAACAAAAGAAACCCAGATGATTTAGTGAAATTTTAACAATAATCTAAATTATTCTGATCTAATCCAAATAGTAGCAGATTAAGAAAATAAAGTCCTTGCCTGTATGTTACATGTGCACATATATTTTATTTGAAAATAGTTTCAATATGAGTTAATCCTACTAACAGGTATATTTGAAAGTTTATCAATTCTCATTTTCATGAGGAATGATGAATGAGATGTTTATTTGAAAGTGCTTTGAAAGCTTTAAATTGCCACTCAAATATTGTTGACCTTTTTGCAGAGATCAATTTATTGGTTTCTTAATGGATTTTTTTTTGCCTAGATAGAAAAGTGCTTGGATGTTTCTAAACACATAATTTTGAAAGGAGAATCAAGGGTCATGATGAAAATCTGACATGGATAAAATACAATTCATTAGCAAGGTAGATTTTATTACGCTACCAGAATTGCAGTTCCTGTCCCTTTCATGCCTCTTCCTGTGAGAGGATGACCCCCCGCTGAACTCTGAAATGACCTTAAGCCTTGCTTTGACTGGTGAAATACAGATGCAAGACACATGTGATACTCTGGGGAGGAAGTTGAGAGCCAGCACGTCTCTTTTCCTCTGTCACCAAGAGTGGTGAGATACCGTGCAGCAGCTCCTCCGTCAACCTGGGTTTCATAGTGATGATGACATAGACAAAGCCCCCATCACTCAAACCAAGATGGGTATATATTTTTTAAAGAGAAATAAATCTTTGGACTGCTTTTCACTGTAGCAAAACAGCCTGTACAAACTCATGACATTGACTTCTCATTTTATTCAGATTGTTTTTCTTACCTAAGCAGATGGATGTTGGGTACCCATTTTCTGTTTTGATAGTCAAGCTGTACTTAAGGGTCCACATTTCCAAAGGGATAGATATATGTTGCCCCTTCGTTCTGATGGGTTTAAATAGGTTGAGTGACCTTAGCTGTTTTCATCACTGTCAAGTGGATGGTGGACATGAACTTGGGAGCTATGGGTTGAGAACAACTAAGGAATTCCAGTGGTAAGCCATACTTCAGTTAATGTGCTTTTTCTTATTGAGGCAAAACATGGATTTTATTTATACTACCTTTACAGATGGATTTGTTAATAATTCAACTTTGCAATTATTTCTTTCATTTATTTCTTTGATCCTTCTATTTTATCATGCTTAAACTTAATATTTTTATCTACTTAAAACTTTAGCAAATATTTTACTGGATGTCCATTAAGGTTGACTTTGACTGTGTTAACTTTGAGTAATTATAATAAATCCATTCAACAGAGGGCATAACCTCATGAATATTGTAGTGTGTGTACATGGCATTTTAAACTGTACACACTATCTTAACTGGATAGAGAAGAAAACACAGAGAGATTAAAGAGGAGATAAGGCAAGGCAAAGGGATTTCATAAAGTAGTAGAAATAAATTGTCATGGCAGTTAGGAGGAGAGGTAGACAAAATTTTCAAAGACAAAATGGTAGTCAACCTCAACCTGTGATTTGATGTGGTATGGAAATCTGATTTTGCATGCATAGCACATGTGTATTGCAGGAATAAGGCTTAAATTTAAGCACAAATCCTTTTGTTCCAAAATTTTGAGTGAAGAGAGGATGTAGAAACTACACAATCACATGGAAAAAATCTTTCTGAGTTGCAACTTTGAAGAGAATTTCTCTTCATACTGCCTTCTTTCTCACAATTCTTGTTCTATGGAGGACTAGAGTGAACACTAATGTTTTTGAAATCAAAGTTGGTTAGGGGCAGTTGGAATTGTGAAGACATTTATTTTGTATGTAATTGTAGAATTGTGTGGTTGAAAATCTTTTCTGAATAAGTTTATTAATAATCAAACTGATATAGAAATATATTCCTGGAAAATATCTTCTTACCCTTAATGTGCAAATCACTTAGCTGGCATTATAACATAAAAGTTCAGGGTCATGAGATGTATTGCTATGACATTCTGGAAGCACCAAGGACTACAGATTCATCATTAATGTGGAAAAACCAGTATGTGAAACAAACAAACAAACAAAATCTGTGGAATGTTTCCCAAAAATCAAACAAGTGTGGCAGGTAATTTTCCTCAGTGCAGTCCGAACAGAGCTCATATCTTATCAGGAATCCGGTCTTTGTTATAGTATACACAATGATAAAAAGGCAAATTGAGATTTTTGCCTCTGCTTTTAATGAGATTCATGCAAAATTAAATTTTTCATAACTTCTTTGAAGGATCGAACTTTTGGCAGTAGAATAAACAAAACTACACCAATAATATGTAGTGTGCATATTATGTATCTCAATTTTTAATAATAAAAAAATCTGCCAGTCATGCCAAAGGAAAGATTGAATTAACATTTTAATTCTCTAGAGAGAACGACTTCACAACAGTTTATTGTGAAGAAATGATTAGTGAGTATACATCTAAGTGGTAAAATAAAATATATCAGACAATTAATATAAATATAATCGCTTTTTAAATTGTGCTGTTTATAGTGTTTGCCAAATTTTAAAATTTGTAATACTTTTATTTCTTCATTAATACCTCAATTCATTGTTAATTTTACATTCAATATTTGTAGTGTTTAATTTTTAAAACTGGACTCCAAACTTCATAAGCTTGATGGCCCCTAAATTCTGGATCACAATATATGAGGAGTAATCAGAAAGTTTATTAGGATTACAGGTATAAGCAAAAGCATAAAAGTGTAAGGTTTAATAGCTTCTATGCTAGAGGATAACATGAGAAGTCATGAAGTGGTTTGGGGTCATTAAATATTTAAATGATTTGAGGAATGCTTGAAAGCTTTTATTGAATTGATAATCATATTTGTAGTTACGAATTTATACTCTGCAGTCCTGTGGATGAAAGCGATGATGATGAAGACCCATATAAAGATATTTAAGTAAAGGTGATAGGAGGTTATACTTAAAAATATATACCTAAAATTATCAAAATAAGGAGGCTCATTCCATACAGGAATAAAGAATAAAGATAAATAAAAATGAAATGGCCTTTGCTAAGTGCCTAGAAAGATGATAGTGAGAGGAATAGCCACCTGTAATGAATCTTAAAGAAATTTTATTGACAGACAATATGTCTCAGGTACACATTTGAGGAAGAAGAAGAACAATTACCAGTCACTCCCTCCCTTTGATACTAACTTCCTTAGCTATCTTTGCTCACTTACAGGTAACCTTTAAGGAAAGGCTATCAATACTCATGGCGTTCATTCTGCAATTATCAATCCCTTGCCAAACTTCCACTTGAATTTCAATTCCTCCCCTTTCTTGACGCTATGATTTTAATAATTGCCAGCATTTTCAGTATTCCTAAAGATCAATAGGTATCCCTTATCCTTTATTTGTTGAATATCTCAGCAGCATTTTTTTTTTTTTTTTTTTTTTTTTTTTTTTTTTCTGGTACCGGGAACCGAACTCACGATCTTGTGCTTACCAGGGAGGCGCTGTGCCGCTGAGCTAAATCCCCAGCCCCTCTCAGCAGTATTTGAGAATTGTCACCACTTCCTAAAACATTCAACTCTATATCTATCACTCACAAATATTTATCTGGGTTTGCACATAAATATATATGTATGTGAGTACCTAATATATATATATATATATATATATATATATATATATATATTCAGTATCTGCAAACAATTAAACAATGTGGTTTCTTGTGTTTCCTAAGAAAATGATTGGATGTATTGCTTTTACATATGTAAAAATCACATTATCTCTAAATGGTATTTCTAAAGCTGATTCATAATCAAACAAAACTTCAGTGTAAATAGACTATTCAGAAGGTTTAGCAAACACCTCCAAGAAAGCAAGAAAAAAACACTTGCACAAAATTACCCTAATAATAAGGGCAGGGAATTAAAGTACTAACACATCAACCCCTGCAAGTCATTGATTAAGGCCAATTCCTAAGGAGTGTTTCTTTATTAAATTTTCTGGACTTCTGGTATGTAGAGAGAAATGATGTTGTTGAGAAAAGAAAGGAAGAAACAAGGAAAGAAGAACAGAAAGAAAGAAAGAGACAGAGGGAGAGAGAGAGAGAGAAAGAAAGAAAGAAAGAAAGAAAGAAAGAAAGAAAGAAAGAAAGAAAGAAACAAGAGGAATAAAGAAAAAAAGTAGAGAGAGTGGAATCAAACAACAGCAAGAATAAAACTCTTAGGCACAAGCTGCAGATACTATCATTTTATGATGGTAAAATAACAAAGACAAAGGCAGTGATGGTGAACTTTCAGAGATGAATGTCCTAACTGCAATCCCAAACCCACTTACTTATTGCAAATTGCCAGCACTGAAATTAAACCTGAATATTGAAGTTTATTTTAGAAAAAGAAATAAAACCTCATACATTAGCATCTTTTGCAAAACAAATGACACCCATGCTACCGGTTCGCTACCACTGGACGAAGGGTGTAGGCAAGGCAGCTTGTGTGGCTGCCGTGGTCACAGTTTGTACAGCTGAGAATCATTCTCCCCCATATAAACCCCACTACCTTCTTGCAGTGCTGATTCATCATTTCAAAAGTAGAATAAAAAGAATTATAACAGAAAAATAGGGGAAAGAGTCAGTCTGTTGGGACAAATGTTACAGACAATACTAAGAACACAAGTATTTATTGTCTCCCTCCACCATTCAAATTTTCTTTAATCTGAGTTTATTTGTAATTCTCCGAAGCCCAAGTTAGCACCATTAGATTGTGGTTACTCCCACTGTGTATTTAGAGTTATTACTGGATATTAAGCATTAAGCAATGCCACAGTGCGTCACCTAGGTTCCAGATAGATTCTTCCCTGACTTCCAATCATAGCAATCTCAAGACCTAATAAGGACTGCAGATGAACCTTGCCACCTCCTCTCTTGCTGGCTAATGCCCTGGCATAACCATCCTCAGTGATAGCTTTAAGTTTATGAAAACTCTTGCTATCTAAAGATAAATGTATGGGTCCTCTGGGATCAAGGACCCCAATTCCAATGAGATCTAAATTTGTGGAGACCAAATGGACAACATTCTTCACTGGATCACTGAGAATAATCTTGAGACA